GGGGTCGAAGGATTTTTTACCTGCATATAGGTGACAGAATAATGGTGTGGTTGAGTGGGAGAATTGGAGAAAGGCCAGACAAACTCGATTTTGGGTGCGGGAGCTAGGGGGTGTTCCCCAAAACAATTTGAATCTAGAGGCTCTTAAGTTCTGGGAATGATTTGTTTTACCCAACCAGGCACAAAACCTGTTTCAAAGCATGTAACTGGGAATCATGGATATTCAATATATATAACAACCTTAAATTTGCCTTTCAGGCAGCAAAGAATATTAGTTTCTCCCACTCTAATCTCTTTTGGGAACTTCGCTCGCCCCAATTTTACCTTCTTTTCCATTACCCCGGCACGCAAGTGATTTGTGAAGAAAATAGGAGGGTCTGGAGTCCTCCCCTAGAAAACGTTTATAGTTTTTATGGCTCAATTAATGACAGCAATTCTGGAATTTTCTGGAGCATCCACAAGGGTAACGAATAAATGAGAAGACTGTTTTAATTAAGGCTATTTTTGTTAGTTTGGTGACTGCACATTTGTGTTTTAAGAACTGCACAAATGGGTTTAGAACTGCACATTTTGTGTAGAACTGCACGTTAAAATAAACCCTGGTCAGTCTTGTAGCTGTTAAGTATTGTTAATAAATAAAAAATAAATAAATGTGTTTTCCTTGCTAATTCATCACGTATGAAATTTTGACCGCTTTTAGCGGTAACTGTCAGATAACGGGCAGGTGGGAAACGTTGGCGAACAGACGGACAAACAGTCGGAGAGGCTAGCTAACCGACGGACAAACAGACAAGTAACACCAAGACGGTAAGAAACAAACAGACAAACTCGAACCGGTGTTGACTGGTGTAGCAAACGGACAAAATACGAGGACGGGATAAATACGAACAGCTATAGTGTCCTATTTCACAACCCTCTGTCTTGCACTCACTTGTTTAAGTATGGGGAAAATTGATATAGCGCTCATGTACAGATGGCAACCTGTTCTAGACGGACCCATCCACGAATTCCAAGCAAATAGGGAAGGGCGGGTGGGCCGTTACTGCTATATCTTCCTGGGCGCTTGATCAAATTTGTTGTAAATGCAGTGAGAACGTCCCTGTTTTATAGGAGTCAATGTCCCACAGGGGTTACACGCTCCATTAGATCGCATTATGTACAAAATTCCTGCTTTCACGCCTTTGTGCTTTCTTTTGAGCTAGTGTTGTGAATAGCAAGTGTAATGAACAAACAGACAAACGAACAGTGATAGCAAACAAACAGACAGGTGCAAACAGACGGACAAACAGACAGAGAGCTAACGAACAGATGAACATACAGACAATGACAATGGTAGGAAACAAACGGACAGTGGTACAGACAGACATATATATATAGACAAAGCCCTGTCTGTTTGTCCGTCTGTTTTTCACCCTATCTATATGTCTGTCTGTTTGCTTTCTCTGTCTGTATGTGCATCTGTGTGTTGAGCTACTGTCTGTTTGTCCGTCTGTTTGCTCGGTCAGTCTGTCTGTTTACTACTCTTGTCTGTTTGCTATCATATCTGTACGTCTGTCTGTTTGCTCCTCTGTCTGTATGTTCGTCTGTGTGTTTGGCTACTGTCTGTTTGTCCGTCTGTTTGCTCGGTCAATCTGTCTACTACTCTTGTCTGTTTGTCCGTCTGTTCGCTATCCTATCTGTACGTCTGTCTGTTTGCTTCTCTGTCTGTATGTTCGTCTGTGTGTTTGGCTACTGTCTGTTTGTCCATCTGTTTGCATTGTCAGTCTGTCTGTTTACTACTCTTGTCTGTTTGTCCGTCTGTTTGCTACCCTATCTGTATGTCTGTCTGTTTGCTTCCCTATCTGTATGTCCATCTGTGTGTTTGGCTATTGTCTGTTTGTCCGTCTGTTTGCTCTGTCAATCTGTCTGTTTACTATTTTCGTCTGTCGGTCCGTCTGTTTGCACCTGTCTGTTTGTCAATCTGATTGCAACTCTTGTCTGTCTGTTTGTTCGTCTGTTTGTGCTTGGGCTACTGTCGTTTGTCTCTTTGTCTGTTTGTCCGTTGGCTAGTTATCTATCCAAATATTTACGTTATCAGTAAGAGTACATCCGCGCACTAAATAAAGCAAATGACGTGCTTGTTTATGTGCAACCTAGCAGCCGAGTGTGTCAGTGTGATGCGCTTTCAGCTTTGAGAGTGGTCGTTTCGGAAACGTAGGCGACATCTTTTGCACACAAATGACGTACGAAACTATAAATTCACAAACTTCTATATTGTCAACGAGGTTGTCCACATTTGATACGCGAAACACGAATACATGATTAGTGGTCTGGGAGGATAAACTACGTTAAAAGTGGTTAAAACTACCATTACAAATGCCGGTAGTGTATCAGTGTTCCAGACGCTTCCCTGGTGATAACCTACGCGGATGCCCCTCGCCCTCGTCCGCTCTGCCTTCTGATTGGTCGAGAGCCGTGTAATAAGAACAAATATTATGACGTATACCCCTCGACGAACAAGCAACTTTTTATGATCAACATGAATCGTCATTTTGTGAGCGGATAAAAGCTCGAAAGATCACGAATATATGTTATAATTTTTGACCAGCTGTTACATAGTAATAACTTATTAAATAGTCCGATAACACACGCTGAATTTTGTGCAAAATTAGCAGACAATATAGCGATTTTGCGTGGGTGATCTCAGCCAGTTGCCACGTTGTGAAATTTTTATATAGCTGGGATATTTTTCTACGATTGCTTCTAATCTGGGCTTAAGTTCGTGAATTTTATACGGAACGAGGAAGCAGAATTGCTAAAATAATGGATGAAAATGGACGGTTATCGAACCAGGAGCTATTTAAAGTAAAATTATCGTTGTCTTGTTTGTCAAATCGTGTCACCGTGTGTCCAGTCACAGCGAAGTTATACTTGTTGAAGGAGGAAACTTGGAAACATCATAAGACCGGCGTTGCAGCAGTTATTTTTAATACTGGGGAATGTGGGGACAGGAATCCTAAAAGTGTTAAACTATGCTTAGTTGAGTTAGAAAGTGGGTTTCCGTCTTGGAACGAATACTTGAGCGATAACTCGCAGTATAAAGCTGCCCAAGACAACACATTTCACACATTGGTTTTGCAGAATAATAATGGTGCAAATATGGCTGGCTTACAATTCGACGACGAAGGCGCTGCGTCGTTGTTTTTAAAGGAGATTGTTGACTCTATTGAGGAGCTGAAGTCCGCTAACAATGCTACGGAATTGAGCAAACTTGAACTAAGCTCTCGCAAAGAGAAAGCAAAGAAATTTCGCAAGCTGAAGAAAAGTGAAATTTCAACTCCATGCCTTTTCACGCATGTGACTAACATTAGTTCAACGCAAGCCGACACTTTGGACGAACCGTCAAATCCCAACAAACTAGAAGGAAGAAGAAGTGGCTCTACTTCTGGCAAATCTAGCGATAAAGTTCGGCGTACGTTCAGTATTTCCAAAAGGAAATAAATAAAAAACGACGTTGTGAATGCCGAGCGGGGTAGGCAACAACGAATTCGCTCGGGCGAGTTTAGCGCCTCTAAAATGTCAACACAAGCCCAAATATTGCCCCAAAACTATTTGTGTGTACAGTTCGGCAATCCCAATTAGCCATAAGTTGTGAAATTGTTGCCCTAAAAAGACCATAAAATGATCAAACATGAAATTATTTCATTGAATTTGCGACATTGACATTGTTAATAGTTATTATCAAATAGTATATTGTACGGAAATTGATTCGAAATTTCGCTTGAAATTTGAAGTCTGAACCGTCTTGATTGCGTGTTTGCTATTGATATTTTATTAGTTTTTACTAGAGATCTTCTTAAAAGCTAAAAATATATATGATTTTGGACAGACATATTGTATATTTTATTGTTTACATTTGATAATGTGTCGTGTCGTATCGAATGCTCATTTCGTATCGCAAAGTGAAACATAGCGTGTTTAGAACTTTTAGAATGCGCCTTTATTCATAGTTTTGTAATTTGTTTATAATCTGGGAATTTCGGAGCATTTTTGAGGCAAAATATTACAGTCTGAATGACATATTTCATTGTCTCTCATCGGAATTTGATATGGCATCATATCACCCGTGGAATGCATGGTTCCAGAGATTAACCAATCAAATTAGAGATTAAGATTTTAAGATAATATTTTGGAATAACAAATATTTGATTAGATCAGATTACACATTGATACAACGTAGAAACAACACGCAGTATTTGGCAATGTACTATAAATATTAATATTATATTTGAACGAATTAGGCCGAATTTGGAAAGTTTGCTTTTAAACAAGAGTGCATTTTACTTCATATATGGTTAGAGTTGAAGTGTATGTCTTTATAATTTTAACTAATTATATTGGTTTTTGTTTGGCAACAATAACTGTTGCTCAATTTTTATGGCCATTGCCCTTAGCGAGATATTTGTTGAATGTTAATTATGTGAACTATGTTACTCTGGACTTAAATTTGCATTCGAAATCTGGCTTAGAATGTTTGCTTGTAAGTTAGGAATGTTTGTTGTAACGTTCCGAAGTTTCTACCAATGATCTGTAATCTCTGTCAAGGGTTCTTGGCTAGTTAAGTAAGCCAGCCAATCAAAGAATCATTGCAAATCATCGAAACGAATATTTAAAGTCATATTTAAAGTCATTGTCTTTCCAAATTGAATTGGAGGGTGAAGTGATATATATGAGTAGGGTCAAGTTGGGGGTTAAGTGTCCTGTACTTCTACTCCACCAGTTTTCATTTGCAAGGACTCAGCATTTTCATCCAAAAATTTCATTTGAAATTTGCATCTACAAATGCCTTCAACAATTAGTTATGTTGAGTAAGATGCTCAAAATTCTGATATTTATCCACATTGTACATGGCATCACCTTAATATTTATACATGAACTTGTGGTTAGAGCTCGACAACTGTGTCTCTGTAGCTCAGTTGGTTACAGCTCGACAACTGTCTCTCTGTAGCTCAGTTGGTTAGAGCTCGACAACTGTCTCTCTGTAGCTCAGTTGGTTAGAGCTCGACAACTGTCTCTCTGTAGCTCAGTTGGTTAGAGCTCGACAACTGTCTCTGTAGCTCAGTTGGTTAGAGCTCGACAACAGTTGTAGCTCAGTTGGTTAGAGCTTGACAACTGTCTCTCTGTAGCTCAGTTGGTTAGAGTTCGACAACTGTCTCTCTGTAGCTCAGTTGGTTAGAGCTCGACAACTGTCTCTCTGTAGCTCAGTTGGTTAGAGCTCGACAACTGTCTCTCTGTAGGTCAGTTGGTTAGAGCTCGACAACTGTCTCTCTGTAGCTCAGTTGGTTAGAGCTCGACAACTGTCTCTCTGTAGCTCAGTTGGTTAGAGCTCGGCAACTGTCTCTCTGTGGCTCAGTTGGTTAGAGCTCGACAACTGTCTCTCTGTAGCTCAGTTGGTTAGAGCTCGACAACTGTCTCTCTGTAGCTCAGTTGGTTAGAGCTCGACAACTGTCTCTCTGTAGCTCAGTTGGTTAGAGCTTGACAACTGTCTCTCTGTAGTTCAGTTGGTTAGAGTGCTGCACCGGAATCGCAGGACCGCAGGTTTGATTCCTGCCAGAGGGGCTATAGTTGCATTTTTCGCAGCTGCTCCTGGGCAATCACTGAGCCATGTATGTATAATCTAGAGAGAGCTATGGCAATCACTGGGCCATGTATGTATAATCTAGAGAGAGCTATGGCAATCACTGAGCCATGTATGTATAATCTAGAGAGAGCTATGGCAATCACTGAGCCATGTATGTATAATCTAGAGAGAGCTATGGCAATCACTGAGTCATGTATGTATAAT